ACTTTCCTCTCCTGGTTTGAGTTTAAAGGAGACAGAGGCAAAGACAATTTTCAAGGTGAGTCAATACCTAGAGGCCATAAATCTAGGATTATTACCAAAACAACAAAGGGAGAAGTTAGCAAAAATGTTTTTACTGTAGGTTATTGTAAGGGGTTTGCCCTACCAAAAAAAGCAGAACCCAGAATAACTTTTAAGAGGGAATTAGACACATACTGGAAAGATAAAAAAGAAAAAGGCCTGGGGCGAGGGAAGTATAGCCCTTTCAGAAGCTGGCACAGTTACAATTAGCACAGCCACGCACCATAGCAATGAGGTATATAATTAGGATAGAACTCAGAATTATATACAGATACAACAACTTGCATTTATATAGCACCCTCCATGCAGGGTAAGGTCTCAGAGCGCTTAACAATGGTGGAGCCTGACTCCGAGCCGGGGGAAGGAGGGAGGTGGCCGTAAGCATGGTCGAAGAAGAAGGTCTTCAGGCGGGACTTGAAAAAGGGGAGAGAGGGGGCAAGACGGAGGGATTGAGGGAGAGTGTTCCAGAGCTTTGGGGTGTAGTGGCCGAAAGCCAGCCTCCGATGGTGGGACGGAGGGTGCGAGGAACGAGCAGGAGGCCGGTGCCAGTCGAGCGGAGACGCCGGGTGGTGGATTGGGAAGTGAGGAGGTCGGAGAGGTGGGGAGGTGCCAGGGAGTGAAGGGATTTGAACACGAATGTGAGATCTTGAAGTCGATCTGTTCCGTGATGGGGAGCCAGTGGAGCCTGGCCAGAACTGGTGAGATGTGGGTGGAGTTTGGTCCGGGTCAGTATGTGGAGGGCAGAGTTCTGAATGAACTGGATCTTTTGAATAGTGGAGCTGGGGAGACCGGCGAGGAGTGAGTTTGAGCAATCCAGGGAGGAGGTGACAAACACATGCACAAGGGTTTTGGCTGCATTTGGGATAAGGTACGGTCAGAGGCAGGACATGGAAGAGGGCGGTCCTGGTCAGGGACTGGATGTGGGGAGGAAGGACAGCTGGGGGTCGAACCGGACGCCTAGATTGCGCACTGTTTCGGTGAGTCTGAGAGAGAGTCCAGGGAGGTTGAGGAGTTCAGATCCACAGGAGTGAAGACGTTGACAGGAGCAAAGGGATATGGCTTGTGGGTCCATATTCAGCTGCAGGAAGTTTACCCTCATCCAGGCCCTGATGTCTGCCAGACAAACTGAGAGAACATCGGTGGACCTGGAGTTGGTACTGGAGGAGGCAAAGTAGATTTGTGTGTCATCTGCATACGTGTGGAAGTTTACCCGTGTCTGCGGATGACATCGCCCAGAGGGAGCATATAGAGAAGAGGGCCAACGATGGAGCCCTGGGGTGCCCCACAGATGACTGGGTGGGGGCGGGAGGAGAAACCATTTGCAGAAATAAAACGTAGGTGGTTCTCTAGACAGTGAGGACGATACAGATCCCTAGACAGCGAGGGGGAAACTAGACCAAAGCTATAAATTCAGTATCATTCCCTGTAGTTTATAGTCTATTATTTTAGCCTAAATCCCCCCTATAACATGCTTGCTCACTTCACTACTGTTCGCTGTGCTGATAGTTTTGGCAATCTACCCCCATTACCCCATAAATCCCTCTCTTGTGTTGTGTCTTGAAGTCTAATACAATTCATCCTAAATTTGTATTGTTTATATTCCTTCCAATTTCTTCACTGTTTTTGTAAATAAAATAGTTGCCACTTGTAACTCCCTAATCTATTTAGGATCCACTTTCTCGTTTTTTTTTTGGTCAGACGGGTGTCCTGACGGATATGGAAATCTATCATCATGCTAAAGAATATCTAAATCAAATTGAGAATGCACTGCAGAAGCTCCTTTCCCAATCCTTCCCATGCTATGCCTTCCAAGCACTTCAACATGCATGAAGGGTGTTGTATGAACTCACAATGTTGTTGTTGATCCAAACTTGTGGGCCAGTCTCCTTTGTGGCAATGTATCAAAAGCTTTCAAAATATTTGGCTAAAAAATAGATACTATACTTTGCAGTAAAATCCCGTAAGGTACTTCAAGATAGCCTCCCGATTTGAATGATGTTATAATCCAAGGCAACGATTGTTATTATTATTTGAAGTATGTCAGTGCATAACCATCACTGAGTTGCCCCTAATCTGCAAGTTCCAGATTTCTCTTCTCTCTTCTTCAGATTTGTTCGGTATGACTTCTCTCCTATATGTTTCCACACTCCTGTAGAGAACAAGCTTGTTCTAGTTGTTTTGATAGTAAAAATGGACGAGATCTCTCACAGTATCCCTGCAGTAGGGAAATCAATGGTGTTTTTTGTAAGGCAGCATAATGGAATGTATTTCCCAGCCAAGAAGAGGAAACAGTTGACTCATCTTTACACTTCTGACCTTATCTGACCCTGTAGCTCATTGGTTATAGCACTCGCCTCGCAAGCGAGAGACCTGAATTCTATTCCGGCAGAGCAAAATGTTGAGCAAATTTCCTTACTCCACTTGCCTCTGTTTACCTAGCAATAAGTAGGAACCCAGTTGTTAGTTGGCGGATCACTTTTACNAAAAAAATTTGATCACTCAATCCACGACTGTCCGTGGGACACTCCTGTGCACAATTGGCTGCCACGTTTTGCCCACAAATATACAGTCAATTCACTTTACAGTATATTCTGTGAAGTGCTTTGCCACATCTAGAAGACGTGAAAAGTGCTATATCAAATGCAACGGTTATTATTGTTATCTTTACTTGGGAATTCCGCAATAGAATCAAATAATCCTACAGAACAGAAGGAGGGCATTCGGCCCATCCTTCCTGCGCTGACTTCTTTGAAAGAACTACCAACTAGTCCAACAGAGCATTGAGCTGGGTCTAATGTATATTAATTGGATTGAATACATTGAACTCAATGTAGCAAATCAAAGCAATTTTCTTTTGTTCATCTCCCAGAATCCCTTCGCCTTCCCTTGCCCTCTTCGAGGTCCTTCTCAAACCTTCTTCTTTGATCGTGCCTCTGGCCATCTTCCCCCCCATCCTCCTTGCCCCCCTCCCCTCTTGAATCCAATGTCAAGCTCAGGTGCAAACCCTAGACGATTCAGCACTTTGAACATCCTCCCGACATGAAAAGCAATATATCCCTGACTGTCCAGCGTCTTTGAACATTCTCCCGACAGCGATATATAAATATAATTTTGTGTTGTATATAAATGCAATTTGTTGTTGGTGGTGGGAATGGAACTATCGTTCAATTGGAAATGATATGCATGGTAATAATGCTCCCATGGATTTCATACTGAGCTGTGAGGAAATTCGCCGGGAGTTCCTGGTACATGCCAACCACTTAGTGAGGGCTCAAACCCTGCCCTTGGCAAATGACCAATTAGTGACTATTTTCTTTGAGGGGAGTTAAGTCGAATCTCCTTGGAGCTGAACTGACTCCAAGATGACATGTTTGGCAACGGAATGTCGGAATTGAGCCAACCCTCTGAGGCAGTCTCAGAAATCCAGTTCCAAGCTAGAAATTTGGTCTAGTTTGGTGCAGGCCTGATGGGATTACCCACCTTAATAGCCATTCTGTTTTTCATCATATGCAGCAATAGTGGTTAAGTTACTCAAGAGAAGGACACTCTTTGCTGTAAAACAGTTACATCAATGACTTGAAACATGTCAATTGCCTACACAGGCAAACATCAAGAAACAGATTCTGAATAAAATAGCGTTCCTTAAGGGACAGATGGTTGAATAGTTGTGGGTACTTAGGTTGGTGTTTTTTCTATGTTAAGTTATATTTAATGAATGATCTGCTCTTTGCAAGAGAATTTTTATGCTGGATAAAAATACTTTCGGAGGTTTGTCTCATTGATTCACCATAGAAACGGAGATAAATATCCATGTCATTAAGCAATGCTATTCTCACAAGATGGGGCACTTTTGTAACCTGAAGAACAGTGAAATCAGTTCAAATATAAATTTCTTTTGTGCAATTTAAGAATTTATAAAAACATCCTCAGCGATTAAAGACATGTTCATCATACCCATCAGAACAAAATGAACACAACAAATTTTCTCGTATCTAAAAGGATATATTAGCTCATGGTTATATTATACAACAGTGTCACCCAACAAATCGCGTGCAATCGCGTGCAGGAAAGGTTTAAATCGTGACTGAATCAGAAACGGACATACTTGTAACATATCACTGTTGCCTTACAATATATACAATTTAAAACATTTTTAGCAGGTTTATTTGCAATACGTGCTGTTCAAATTTATCAAAATTAAACTTTTGTAATGTTATTTTGGTATTCTGATACCATTGCGTTTGAAATATAGTTTTATAGTAAAAACCTGATCACTCAACCCTGGCTCATTACCATTAAGTCATCAAGCTCTCAATATCCCAGCTACATTTATTAATGTATTTATACATATGCCTAACTTGAACCTGAGACATGTTCCCTTGGAGTGACGAGTTATTAGGAATTTATTATATTTTCATTGCTATTTCTCTGCACAAGTGTCATTTAAGGCAACGGGTTCTATTTAGGACTATTTGTACCGTAGATGTGCAACACATTTAAATAAATGTCATTACTGCTAAACAAACTTTCAAAAAGTAAGCACATGCAGTTACCACAATTTATGAAGTAACGTCAACCCCGGGTTGATGTTTTTAATTTATTTTCTCTCCTTCTGAAAACAATTCCAGTTTGTGGAATTGCTGAAAGAAACTCCCATATTCATTAATATTGGTGGGGGAATCCAGAACAAGGGAGCATAATCTTAAAATTAGAACCTAGCCCATTTAGAAGTGAAATCAGGAGATGTTTTTTCACCCAAAGGGCAGTGGAAATCTGGAACTCTTTCCCCCAAAAGGCTTTGGATGCTGGATCAATTCACATTTTCAAGACTGAGATGGATATATATTTGTTAGGATAGGGTTATCAACGGATATGGGGCAAGGGCGGGTAATTTGAGTCGAGGTACAGATCAACCGTGATCTTATAGAATGGTGGAACAGGCTCGAGGGGCTGAATGTCCTACTCCTGTTCCTCTGTTCCCAATAAAGCACTCACTTTTCGCCTCAGCTACAGTTCATGACAGTTCTTTTATGATTCTTGCCTTTCACCTCAATCTGAGCTGTCATTTGATTTGCGTGTTTTGTGTTTCCTTTTTTTCTTCTTTTTCTCTTTCTTTCTCTTCTCTTTTTTCTTTTTCTTCTTTTTGTGTCTGTCGTCAGACTCCAAGGAGCTGGAACTCCCACTGTCCGATGTGGGATCCTCCAGTAACTGCTTTAGCTGTTGGATCCTGGAAAAAGAAAAATATTTAAATTGACAGTACAATTAAAATTTTATATTTACATTTTAAATGTATAGAACGCCCGTCACATCACGAGGAGGCTTGTAAATTGAGCAAATTGAATTCTTGGCACTTTGTAAAATAATTAGCTCATTTCAAGTGTAAATCTGTACGTTTATCACCCACCAGTGAATCCATTTAGCTTTCATAAAGTGGGGCAGGACGATTTGTTCCAGCTGTGTTGGAATACAAATGCTGAATAAGAGGCTAATTTGCAGATCACATGCGCTCTCACAGCTTGCATAACTGAATGCTTGGCAAAAGGACAGTTAAATTGTGTACTGCAGACCGACTGTAGTTAGTGGACGTCAGTTGCACACAACTTGCATCCACTCAAACTAATAGTTGGTGAATAAACTACAGACAGACTTTTTCTGATCCAAATTGAAACACTAAAATTGACAAAGAAGCTTAAAGCTTGTACAGAAGTCATTATATTTAATCATTTCACTGCAATGATGTGAGTTTATTGAACAACAATTTGCATTGATATAGCTCCCTTCAGGCACCATAGCGGCCCGGAGCTATTCCACAAAATCACCTGAACATTCAATGCATCTCAGAAAAAAGTAATGCTTAACAATGATGATAATAATAGTAATCCTTGCATTTGACATAGCGCCTTATAGTGCTTTCAAGATGCCTCAAAATGCTTCACAGGATTTTACTATGAAGCAATAGTGACTGTGTATTTGTAGGTGAATGCGGCAGCCAATTTGCACACAGCAATGTCCCACAACCAGGAAATGAATGACCACATCCTCGTGTCCACAAGTACACTTAAAACAAGGTTGATTCTCCCTCGAGTCAGAGAATACTAGAGGTAATATAGGAGTCCATTAAACCTGTCTGGAATCAGTTTAAGTACAGACCAAGACAGAATCTACTCTTGGGCAGGTTTTTATTGCTTGAGGAAGGGGCTCTGCCAATGTTGCCTTACATCCCAAGGTGGGGTTGATTCCACAACCGCCAGAATATAGAAAAAATTGAGCAAAAAGCAATTTTGTTCACATTGCTGCCAAACCAATCTCATATGCAACATTAAACACTGTTCAGATAACAATCCAATCAAAGGAGTCTGACATCTTTCACACAGAATTGGCCCTGGAATTGGGGAGGGGAAAAACAGAGATGCAACAATACATCTGGGAATTAAAATGGCAATGACATCCAATATTCCAATTTCAAATGGGATTCCTTAATCCTGAAAGTTGAGTGTAGACAATTCTGTGTAACTGGAAGTGGGTCTGGCTGAATCATGGGAACTCCACTGTGAAAGTACTGTATGAGAGCCCATGAGTTTCCACAAGTCATATTTTATGATTTCCTTATTAGGGCAACATATTAGAAATCACCATATTTTAGACCCCAATAGTCACCATGTTCACATTCATTATGGTGGCAATATTGTACCTCTTGGGTCTGTACATTGTGCTGTACTGGGACATCAGAGTTACATAAGAATTTTTATTTTTGCATTCATCAAACTAAGGGATATCAATGGAGATAAATAGAATTCTCTTCTACTCTAGTATAGAATATGAACATCAAACACTTTCACATCAGCTATATGTCAGGGTGGATACAGAACCAAGTTCTCTTTGTCACTTTGCCTGTCCTCCTGACGTGAAAGGCGTTATACAAATGTAATTTGCTGCTGCTGTTGTCGTCACTGGTACTCACCTGGTTTCCTTTTCATGGCGCTTGTTTTCTCTGATGACGTCATACATGGGATCCTCATGTGCCTAGTGAAGGAACACACTATGTTAATGGAATAAAATTGGTAATAAAGCCTAATACCATGTACGATGATGTTACCTTGACTTTTTTTTACAACTTCTAGTCATGAAGGTGAATATTTTGGGGCATTCAGAAACCAGCAAAGCCTTTTTATTAAAAGAAAAGTGAAATCCAATTTTTTGTCTAAGATTCCCCTCTTCAGAAAGTGTTTTTTGCCTCATTTTTCTATTTACTGGGGTACTGTTCCACAAGTGCCAGTTGCACTTGTGCCAGTACATCATTTGAGTGGCCATCATTCATGTATGTGCCTTGAGAGTGAATACTGGCACATTATTTGACAGTGAGGGGATGGGAATAGCAGTCACAGCCGATACATCTAACAGTCTTACACATGCATCTTCCAGCAAAGATCTCTGGTTACTCATTGGAAACAGTTCGATTTTCCTCTACATAACTCAAGAAGGTACTGAGGTCAAAAGTAACTGCCTAAGAAATGTTCAGTCAACTCAGCACAGACCTGAATTTGATGCCATGCCTTTCTGGTCTGTACTTACTGCTGTACTGGGCCATCAGAGTTACATGAGAGCTTTTGTTTTGCACTCATCAAACTAAGGGATATCAGTGGAGATAAATAGATTACTTTTCTACTCTGGTACAGAATATTAGCATCAAACACTTTCACACCAGCTATATGTTAGGGTGGATGCAGAACCCAGTTGTCTTTTGTTCTTTCCTAAAGATGGTCTTCAACCAGAAATTCAGACATGACCTACACACCAGCAGTGTGAGATCACCATTTCTCATTGTGCCAGGAAGGAGAGTCAGGTTAGTGCTACACTGGGAATTCTATTCTCACTCAAAATCAGTTCAAGCCTGCCCAGGTAGAACCCATAGTCAGTAAACAGAAACGATATTCAATCCTCATGAGATTCACCTTCTGAAAACTTGACAGTCCATTTGCCTCTAATGTCATGCTGTCTTCTCCTCTGGCTCCGGTCTGCTCCACATCCCCCGCCCCAACCGCCCTACCATCGGTGGTCGGGCCTTCAGCCTCTCAGCCCCGAGGCTCTGGAACTCTATCCCCCAGTGCCTTCGCCGCCTTCTCCCTTTCCTCCTTCAAGGCCGGTCTCAAGACCTTTCTCTTTGACCGTGCCTTCAGCTCCCCTCTCGACTCTCTACCCCTCCTCGCTCCCTCCCTTCCCTCCCCTCACCCTGACCATTTCCCCAATGCTCGGGTCCTGACCCAACTGTACAGCGCCTTGGGAAGTCCTCCCGACGTGAAAGGCGCTCTATAAATGGAATCTTGTTGTTGTTGTTTGCTTCTCCCAGTGTTAGTTGTACTCATTTCAAGAAGTGCTGGGTTTATATTACAGAGACGAGGTAAGTGGGGTCTCCTTGAAGCTGAACTTGCTCCAAGGTGACATGTTTGACAACGGATCATCAGAATCGAGCCAATCCTCTGTGGCTGTGTCAGTAGTCCAAGTTCCTGAGCCAGGTGGGTCTGCAGTACTTCAGGGCACTGCTGATGACAGCAGTGTTCTGAAGTCTGGCTTCAGGGCACTGCTGTCTGGCTCATCGGCAGGACTTGGAAGGGCAAACCAGTCACTAGGGGCAGGGATTCTTCTCACTCATAGGTGGAATACATGAAATTTTCATTCTGGCTTGGATACTAAAGCATGGTGATGGGCTCCGCCGCATGTCTCAAAACAACCGGCAGATCCCCAAAAATACTATATTGCATAAAGGAAAGTAATCTAACAGGAGAAAAATGCAAACGGGAGGGGAATGAAAGAGAAAATATTCTTTAAAATAAATTTTAGAAAATCAAAACACCAGAAAAAGGTTTAGTATCAGCTTCAGACTCATTTAAATAGTTAAATTTTCATCAACACAAGCACCAGAAACTAAATCAAAGTAAAATGATTTATTTTTTGAGTCCAACAAATTTCATGCACTCTATGATTTTGATTTCAGTTCGTTGGTATCAAAGTGAATTCCAAAAGGAAGCATTTGTGCTTAAGTGGCTAAGTAAACCACTGAATGTCATAAAATAAAGAGTACAACATGCAGGAATGTTAGAGCAACTATTGCAAATATGTGACATAGCTAGTTCATGCCTACCAGTAGAACCACCATTATGAGTGAAAGCGAAACTACAAATACATTCCCAGCCTGTTCCTGTTTTGTGCCAACTTGCAGGCTCTGGTCAGATTTTCCACTGTATTCTTATTGATTAAATACTATTTTCGGAAAAATATTTCCGACCAGATCATCATGATGCGACCTTTTCATTTGCCAACTGATAGGTTTTCTATGATTGAAACTGTCGAACAGACCTCTGGGAAATTAATCAATGCTGCTCATCTCTGCTGGAGGATTTTGAGTCTACTCAGATCAAATGGATTTATAGTGAGCAAAGGGCAATGTTCCATATTCCACCTTGTCCCTTTAATCCAAATCCTTTTAGAATCAGCTGCAAGGATTGGGAGAATTTAAATGGTATGCTTTCACTCCTGGGATCTGGACTTGAAATCTAGCTTAGACTATAAAATACAAAAAAGCACGATAGCAAAATTGCTTGAGTGGTACCGGGGATGGTGTAGCTTCAAGAAATATAGCATGTGTAAATCAGGAAGTAACTTGGCGGCATCGCTATGACAGGAAATCGACTATTTTAGCTTCTTGATGAAAATAAATGGCCGACTTACAGGCTGTCTGATTATCACCAACGTCACTTTCCTTTAGAGCAAACTCACAGAGAGGGAGCGATAATGTGCCTCTCATTAGCACCAATCAACCCCCCAACTTTTCGCAAAATTTGGCAAATATTTCCTCAATTTTCTATTGGCCCTGGTTATAACCAAATGCATGCTATAAAGAAGACAATCCAATAGGGCTATAATAAACAAAATATAATTTAAATGTACACACACACATATATTCTTACTGTTCCATAGGCTACAGGAGAGGCTTATTTTGAATGAAATATTATGCGTCCTTTCAGAAACACAAACCTCAAGACTAGTGTAAGCATTCAAAAGTAGAGAGAATAAAATCTGTTCCGACTTACTACTCTGAAATGCTCTAACTTTTGATTTCCACTGATGAAGAATGGACATTCTCTATCTCCAGTTCTGTGTCCAAAATGTTTGCATCTCCAGCCTGGAAACAACATTCCAAAACAGTATCAATAACCATTTGTCCTCATTTGGCCTGGTACAACTTCTAAGATGGCTCAGAAGAATCAACAACAACAACTTGCATTTATACAGCGCTCCCTCATGCAGGTTTAGCATCCCAGAGCGCTCGACAGTGACGGAGAACGACGCTGAGTTGGGGGGAAGGTGACCAAAGAAGAAGATCAAGCCCGACCTGAAGATACGGAAGCAGGGGGTAAGGTGGAGAGATAGAGGAAGGGTGTTCCAGACAAAATCACAGTAACATGCTTTGTTGTGCATTGCTGATGTGGCCAATTCAGGCCAACATTGAAAGAATTTACAGACCTAAATCAAGGAACAGTTGAGATGTGGTTTGAACATGGGCTGTTTTAGATTTCTAATAAAATACAAACTAGCAAAGTTTTTTTTTCACATATAAATATGGTGTGTCCAATCGTTTTTCTAATTTTGTCTTCATTGCCATATGCCCGGGGTGCAGATCCACGGGTGCCCTTCGGTACCCATCCCAATGCCTTTTATTCAAGTGTGAGCCTTGGGATTGAGTGTCAGTACGCCGCGTGATTTTGAGGACATCATGGTTGATCTTGACCTTTCCCATCCAACTGTTACACACATAAGAGGGTGCGAAAGAGGAGCAAGAAGAAGAATTGCTGTTTGTTTTTTCCCTCCCTAACCTGAGGAAAGACATGACCAATTTTGCCTTCCCATACAGCTGAGACCTGCAAACCAGCCAGCTCCTAATCTGTTATCAGCCCCATGATGCCATTGGAGCTGCCCATATTTTGATCTCTTAATAATAATAATCCTTGCATTCGATATAGCGTTTTTTATGTCTTCTAGACATCTCGAAGAGCTTCACAGAATATACTGTAAAGTGAATTGACTATATTTGTGGGTGAAACGCGGCAGCCATTGATGCACAGTAGTGTCCCACAAACAGTCGTGGATTGAGTGACCAAGTTATTATTTTTGGGGGGGGATTATTATCCCCGGAAAAGCGATCCGCCAATCGATTAACAACTGGGTTCCTATTTACTGCTAGGTAAACAGAGGCATGTGGAGTAAGGAAACTTGCTCAACATTTCGTCCTGCTAGGAATAGAACCCAGGTCTCTCGCTTAATGTTTACATAATGCTAAGTAATGCATGACCTATTACATTCTTCTACAATTCAGTGAGACAGGATTGTAGATCAATCAGTGCTCCAGAAGATTTGCAATACAGATCCCATGGGGGAAAAAAAACCTTACTTCAACATCGGTTTTCCTCTGTGGATTCTTTTAGATTCTGCCACTACTTCACTCATTTAAAACTGCAACTCAGCTGTCCTTTATTTATCCAGCCTTCTTCCCTCTCAACTTAACTTCCTTCTGTCACATGTGGAAAAGCTTTGAACTGGTCACATTGCAGCTTCTCTTCATTTTGTGAGATTAAAAGCAAGTCACTAGCCTCTTCAATTACCCCCCACCCCCACCCCCGCAAAAGAAAACAACTTTATGTTGCTGACGGCATAAATAAAAGCACAAACAAGTGCAGCACAAGGCCATTCAAGATCAAGTGTTAGAATTCTGGTCTGCACCGAGTCAGTGGTAGAAGTCTTAATTTCGGAAGGGGAAATTTCAACAAGGTTCCTATTCCTGGATTCTAACCATAACCTGTCTGTAGTTGTTTTGTGCGTTGGCATCACTGTGCTCAGCTTGCATGCGGCTCAAATAACCAAATTAGAATGAACACTGTCAAGGCTCGTCAACAATGGGATTTAAAATAATGATTTCTAACAGGATTTCTTAATACAAACTCCTCTTGCTGAACGGGGACTCAAACTACAGAAACTGTGCTTTCATATACTTGCGGATCGGTCAGTGGGACGAACTTCCCTTTACTTGTAGGAGTCCCCATTTGTAGGAGTGCCCATTTGTATTAGTCCCCATTTGTAGGAGTGCCCATTTGTATTAGTCCCCATTTGTAGGAGTGCCCATTTGTATTAGTCCCCATTTGTAGGAGTGCCCATTTGTATTAGTCCCCATTTGTAGGAGTGCCCATTTGTATTAGTCCCCATTTGTAGGAGTGCCCATTTGTAGGAGTCCCCATTTGTATTAGTCCCCATTTGTAGGAGTGCCCATTTGTATTAGTCCCCATTTGTAGGAGTGCCCATTTGTATTAGTCCCCATTTGTATTAGTCCCCATTTGTAGGAGTGCCCACTTGTAGCAGTGCCCATTTGTAGGAGTCCCCATTTGTATTAGTCCCCATTTGTAGGAGTGCCCATTTGTAGTAGTGCCTATTTGTAGCGGTGCCCATTTGTAGGAGTGCCCATTTGTAGGAGTCCCCATTTGTAGGAGTCCCCATTTGTAGGAATCCCCATTTGTAGGAGTTCCCATTTGAGACTCGAATTCTTTATTGGAATCTTTATAGGAATCACATTAGAAATCATTGCATTTTGGTTTCCTTACTCTTGTTTTGGGCTGTAATAATTTCAGTCAACTGTTCTAGTAAATGTTTCCAGTATTTCCCATTTTATTACTGGAACTGTTTCATGGAGCAGATATGTTCTTAATTTTCTGATTTGTTTTCATTGTGATAGAAATTTAAAAATTCTGCTTACACTGCATGACTTTCACTTCTCTCCCCAGTGGCATCCAAAGTCCTTTGGTAGGAGCGTGTGCCAGGAAGTCTCTTGCTCCTTCATTGCCTGGCAAATCTGGGATACAGTCTTCAGGCTTATCATCATCTTCCTGAACAAACAAAAACAGGTTGATTTATAAATTAAGTGTTTGTCTTTAAATTATATCAGTAATAAGAAACACTTTTCTGGCTAGTCCAAGACTCCCATTAAGTTGGATGCAATAATAATAATCCTTGCAGTTGACAGATCACCTTATCATGTCTTTGAGATGTCTCAAAGCGCTTCACACACTATACTGTAAAGTGAATTGACAGTATAGTTGTGGGCGAAACGCGGCAGCCAATTGCGTACAGCAGTATCCCACAAACAGTCGTGGATTGAAGTGACCTATTTATTATTGTTTTTTTGCTTGAGGGAGTATTATCAGGTGTGCGGAGTAAGGAAACTTGCCCAAGGTTTCACCCTGCTGGGAATCGAACCCAGGTCTCTCGCTTGTGAGTCGAGTGCTCTAACCACTGAGTTACAGGACTTTAGACCCTCCTTAAATTAATATACACTTTTTCCTCGTATAACTGCTGAAATTTTGAGGACATCATGGTTGATCTTGACCTTTCCCATCCAACTGTTACACACATAAGAGGAGCAAGAAGAAGAATTGGGATACAGTCTGCGCATTTGTAGACAAAAACACAGCAGCCCATTTGTAATGCCATATTAACAGCTATGAAGTCAATGACCAATTATATCCGCAAGACTTATGGTGAGGACACTGGAGGAACTCCTTTCTATTTTTGAATAGTGCTACGAGATCTTTAATATCGACCTGAACAGGCAGACCGAACCTCTGTTTAGCATCTTATCTGAAAGACAGCAGCTCCAACAAAGACAGCACTGCATTGAAGTGCCTTCGCCTTGCTTCCTCCCTTTCCTCCTTCAAGGCCGGTCTCAAGATCTATCTCTTCAATCGTGCCTTCAGCTCCCCTCTCGACTCTCTACCCCCTCCTCGCTCCCTCCCTCTCTTCCCTCCCCTCACCCTGACCATTTCCCCCTGCTCAGGTCCCGACCCAACTGTCCAGCGCCTTGGGACGTCCTCCCAACGTGAAAGGCGCTCTATAAATGAAATCTTGTTGTTGTTGTTGTTGAAGTGTCATCTAAGACTTAATGTAATGCTCTCATTTCTGCCCAGGAACTTCTTATACGCTTTTATGATTTGCTAAAATTTTGCCCTGATATAACTTTAAAAGTTGCTTTTCTCTTAATTGTGAACTCTAAAAGTAACCTGTCATTACATATTGCAAAAAATACTCAGTGAAGTGCTTCAACACATTTCGACTTGATAATCTGATTAGTTCCCCCCTCGAAATGGATGAAAGCATTTCCAGGAGCAGACATTTTGTACCAAATGCTTTCATCTATAATCACTCAAAAAAAGAACTTTAGGACCGATACCAAGAAATATTTCCTTCAGTATCTTGAATAGTCTTGAATAGCAAAGAAAGGAAAACAATTCGGTTGGCATTGAAGACAGATAAGATCAAATGGGCTGAAGGGCATTCTTTGTCCGAATCACTGGACAGAAATGTCAGAACATTATTGTAAAGAGGAAGATTGACCTTCACTAAATATCCGGTCCCATGTTGTCTCAACAACCATTTCAATACCCAAGGCACAGGAAGAATAGACAACTGAAAGACGTCAATTAGGACCACCTTATAATTTTTGAGATTCTGCTGAAATTTGATTCAAATTAAGTCAAGACACATTTCGCAAAAGGTTCCTACCCTAGTAGCCAGTAACAGCTGACTATGTGTGGTGCAGAGAGGACCATAAAGCACAAGTGAAACCAACGATAATAATGATATGCAATAATTAGATTGACTACTAACCTTTACCATGCCTGGAGGTGGCTTCTCGTAACTATCAAAGAAATAAAAAAATTCACATTTCTTAAACAGCTCACATGAGAAATATTCAATTGCTGTTGCTTTGCACCAGTTTGTCCTCCCCTTTAATAAATTTACCTGGCTTCAGACTTTGCAATTAAGAGACAGAAACAAATTAATTTGCAACCAAATTGAATATTAATGAAAAGGGATGTCCTATGACTCAGTGCACAAGTTTCAGCATTAAGGAACAAGATTGGCAGAGTATCTCCTTTCTCACGTATTCAAGACTTGGCTACTAAAAACTACCAAATCAATGCAGAATTTGTTGAGGCCGAGTTGGCAAAATTGCTTCACTATGACAGAAGTACCATCTCAGGAACACAGAAAGGTAGTTACTGAAGGAACAGGGAAAACACTGATCCCCATTTTGAAAATATCAATCAAAGAGCAGCATTGTTTATCTTAGAAGCATAGAAATTTACAACGCAGAAGGGGGTAGTTCAGCCCATCAAATACGAACCGGCTTTCAGAGCAAATTGTTCATTCACTTCCACTGCCATGCCTTAACCCCATACCCCTCCAAGCCTCTTCCTTTCATATACCTGCCCTTCCCTCTGGAAACCCGCATGGGCTCTGCCTCTCCCGCCTTACTTGGCAGGGATTTCAACATTCCAACAACTTTCAGAGTGAAAGAAAATTCTACTAAACTCTCCTTTTGCTCTTTTCGCACAGTTGTATCACGTTCGTCACATCCAGGAGCCACTAACACAAACTCCCGCTTGTCGGCCTCCCCAACTCCTCCCTCCACAGGCTGCAGATCATCCAGAACTCTGCTGCCCTTGTCCTCTCCCGCACCAGGCTTTGCGACTCTATCACCCACATCCTTGCCCGACTGCATTGGCTCCCCATCTCTCAGTTCAAGATTCTGGTCCTCAGCTTCAAAGCCCTCCTCCCTACCTCTGTGACCTCCTAACCCCCTACCAACATGTCTGCCCCTTCTCTCAGTGGGCTCTGCCCTGGTTCAAATCACCCGCCTTCAGCCTCTCTGTCCCCACCCTCTGGAACTCAATCCCACAGTCCCTCCACCTCGCTCCCCTCCCTCAACCAACCGTGTCATTAGTCACCCTCCTACCTCTACCCTCTCCACCCTCCACCTAACCACCAGCTCGGGTGTGTTTTCCTAACTGTTCTGCGCCTTGAGACGTCCTCCTGATGTGAAAGGTGCTATACAAATGTAATTTGTTGGAGTTGTAAGTAAAGCAGGGAGCCACTAGTGACCATCCAACTCAAGAAAAATGAGCATACTCCAAGGCCAAATTGGTACTCCAAGATTAGTACCCCAATAACCAACCTACACAATTATAGCAAATCTATTTCAAATACATACTCACAAAAAATTAAGACATGTATCACGGATTGAGACACAATCTTAAACCGTTTGTATCAAGGGAAAAAAAGATAAAGTATTGGAATTTGGTTATGATCACACAGTAATTACAGAAGCAGAGAATAGGTATCCTGGTCACACTGTAAGTTGGGTAATGCTGCACAGTGCAAGGAACAGGATTTTGAAAAGGTTTTGGAGTTGTGTACTGGTCAGAAATAAAATCAGTGGAATTTTTTTGATTAGCTGGGTGACATGTCACGAAGATGTCTCGAAGCGCTTCACAGGATTTACTGTAAAGTGTACTGACTCTGTTTTTTGTGGGCGAATGTGGCAGCCAATTTGCGCACACCAACACCCCACAAACAGCCATGGAGTGAGTGACTAATTTTATCTGGGCGATTGTTGGCAACTGGCTTGGGAACTGGACTGCTGAGACAGCCACACAGGGTTGGTCCATTCCCGACACTCTTTTGCCAAGGAGACCCCGCTTACCTCGCCCCAACCAAGGCGGGCAATACTCTCCAGAATAAGATAAGGCAGGGTGCTCCCTTGTTGGCGAGATTGTACATTTCTATTCCAGACAGGGAAATGTCCATGTTTAGATAGGCATACATACATGGTACTCCCAGTATGATTTGGATATTCTTAAATACCGTAATGGGTTTATGCTTGTGCCAAACACCCAGGTAACCCCCAAAAATGTGAGTAACTCGAAAAAGAGCAGAGAACTTGAGTGGTTAGCTCCAGTGGGGGAACCATCACCAGTATCAGCTGCACAGGCAAATGACATCCCCCTTTCTGGACTTTCCAATGGAACCAGGAAGTACATGCAAGTATTTATCCAGATGGCAATAATTACAACTCATATTTCTACAGCACCCTTCATGGGGGGGGGTGGGGGTGGTATCGTCTCGGAGCACTTTAAGCAGCTCGAAGCTATGATACAAAGACAAGGTGTGTGTTTTGAAAGGATGAGATCGAAAGGGTCACCATCACCTGAATCGACTTTATGATCTTGCGTTATAGGCGTTAAGCTCTCTGTGAGGCTCCTGGCGTGACGGGCGCTATAGCATAATAATAGTAATATGTCTCAAAGCGCTTCACGGAATATGCTGTAAAGTGAATTGACTGTGATATTTTGTGGGCAAAACACGATAGCTGCCAGTGCTGCTTGTTGTTGTTGTTGTTGTTGTGTGAGCGGGGGAGGGGCTGCTGGTGGGGGGGGGCTGCTGGTGGGTGGGGGGGCTGCTGGTGGGTGGGGGGAGGGGCTGCTGGTGGGTGGGGGGAGGGGCTGCTGGTGGGTGGGGGGAGGGGCTGCTGGTGGGGGGAGGGGCTGCTGGTGGGGGGAGGGGCTGCTGGTGGGTGGGAGGGGCTGCTGGTGGGGGAGGGCTGCTGGTGGGTGGGGGGCTGCTGGTGGGTGGGGGGAGGGGCTGCTGGTGGGTGGGGGAGGGGCTGCTGGTGGGTGGGGGAGGGGCTGCTGGTGGGTGGGGGGAGTGGCTGCTGGTGGGTGGGGGGGGCTGCTGGTGGGTGGGGGGAGGGGCTGCTGGTGGGTGGGGGGCTGCTGGTGGGTGGGGGGAGGGCTGCTGGTGGGTGGGGAGGGGCTGCTGGTGGGTGGGGGGAGGGCTGCTGCTGGTGGGGGAGGCGCTGCTGGTGGGTGGGGGGGAGGGGCTGCTGGTGGGTGGGGGAGGGGCTGCTGGTGGGGGAGGGGGGGGGAGGGGCTGCTGGTGGGTGGGGGAGGGGCTGCTGGTGGGTGGGGGAGGGGCTGCTGGTGGGTGGGGGGAGGGGCTGCTGCTGGTGGGGGGAGGGGCTGCTGGTGGGTGGGGGGGAGGGGCTGCTGGTGGGTGGGGGGAGGGGCTGCTGGTGGGTGGGGGGGTCGGGGGGAGTGGCTGCTGGTGGGGGGGTGGGGGGAGGGGCTGCTGGTGGGGGGGTCGGGGGGAGGGGCGGCCGCTGCGGCGCTGTCGGACCGTTTACCCGTCGCCTTGTGCCCGTCTGCCCTCACGCGGGATTTATTTTTGTTTTTTGCTCTTACAACGTCTCCACATGTTTGATTTTCTTCACTTCCTGGTGCAGCCGCTTCTTCTTCTTCTTGTACCGGTCCCGGTCCCGGTCCCTCTCCCGCTCCCCGTCGGGCTCCTTCTCCTCCCGTTTGCGCCGCTTCGACCGCCTCTCGCTCTCGGCCATTACCCACAACCCCCCACTCCCTCACACCGCTCCCCCTCCCTCCCTCCCCTCCCGGCCCCGCCCCCCGTCCCGCCCCGCGCTGCTCTACGTCACTGTACCGTCCTGCGCAGGCGCAAACCCGCCCCATGCTGGCTGCGCGTCCAAGACAATAACTTCCGGTCTGGCCTCCCCCCCCCCCCCCTCACGCGCGCTCGGCCACACTGAGTGGGTGGGGGGGGTGGGGTTTGTTGCACCGGACGTGACGTACCGCACACACACCAAAAAAACGCCATCGAAAAAAGAGCGATGGGAAGCGTTGACGGTCGAGTCACCGGCCGATGGGCCCGAGCGCCACTGGCAGCGCTGCTCGGCCTGGTCGCCATGGTGACCGACCTGGACGGCGGCCGCCCCGACCACCCAGCCAGCTTCCTGTACTTCAGCTACGGCAGCAACCTGCTGCAGCAGAGGCTCCGGCTCAACAACCCCTCGGCCGTGAAAGTCAACGTGGGCTGTCTGAAGGTGGGGAGTGGGTACTGCTGTCAGAGCGGGGAGTTGGGGGGAGTGGGTACTGCTGTCAGAGCGGGGAGTTGGGGGGAGTGGGTACTGCTGTCAGAGCGGGGAGTTGGGGGGGAGTGGGTTTGCTGTCAGAGCGGGGAGTTGGGGGGAGTGGGTTTGCTGTCAGAGCGGGGAGTTGGGGGGAGTGGGTTTGCTGTCAGAGCGGGGAGTTGGGGGGAGTGGGTCTGCTGTCAGAGCGGGGAGTTGGGGGGGAGTGGGTACTGCTGTCAGAGCGGGGAGTTGGGGGGGAGTGGGTACTGCTGTCAGAGCGGGGAGTTGGGAGGGGATTGGGTTTGCTGTCAGAGTGGGGAGTTGGGGGGAGTGGGTACTGCTGTCAGAGCGGGGAGTTGGGGGGAGTGGGTACTGCTGTCAGAGCGGGGAGTTGGGGGGGAGTGGGTACTGCTGTCAGAGCGGGGAGTGGGGGGAGTGGGTACTGCTGTCAGAGCGGGGAGTTGGGGGGGAGTGGGTACTGCTGTCAGAGCGGGGAGTTGGGGGGAGTGGGTACTGCTGTCAGAGCGGGGAGTTGGGGGGAGTGGGTTTGCTGTCAGAGCGGGGGAGGGGGGAGTGGTATGCTGTCAGAGCGGGGAGTGGGGGGAGTGGTTTGCTGTCAGAGCGGGGAGTTGGGGGGGAGTGGTTTGCTGTCAGAGCGGGGAGTTGGGGGGGAGTGGTACTGCTGTCAGAGCGGGGAGTTGGGGGGAGTGGGTTTGCTGTCAGAGCGGGGAGTTGGGGGGAGTGGGTACTGCTGTCAGAGCGGGGAGTTGGGGGAGTGGGTACTGCTGTCAGAGCGGGGAGTTGGGGGGAGTGGGTACTGCTGTCAGAGCGGGGAGTTGGGGGAGTGGGTTTGCTGTCAGAGCGGGGAGTTGGGGGAGTGGGTACTGCTGTCAGAGCGGGGAGTTGGGGGGAGTGGTTTGCTGTCAGAGCGGGAGTTGGGGGGAGTGGGTTTGCTGTCAGAGCGGGGAGTTGGGGGGGAGTGGGTACTGCTGTCAGAGCGGGGAGTTGGGGGGAGTGGGTTTGCTGTCAGAGCGGGGAGTTGGGGGGAGTGGGTCTGCTGTCAGAGCGGGGAGTTGGGGGGAGTGGGTTTGCTGTCAGAGCGGGGAGTTGGGGGAGTGGGTCTGCTGTCAGAGCGGGGAGTTGGGGGGAGTGGGTCTGCTGTCAGAGCGGGGAGTTGGGGGGAGTGGTACTGCTGTCAGAGCGGGGAGTTGGGGGAGTGGTACTGCTGTCAGAGCGGGGAGTTGGGGGGGAGTGGGTTTGTTGTCAGAGCGGGGAGTTGGGGGGAGTGGGTACTGCTGTCAGAGCGGGAGTTGGGGGGAGTGGGTACTGCTGTCAGAGCGGGGAGTTGGGGGGAGTGGGTACTGCTGTCAGAGCGGGGAGTTGGGGGGAGTGGGTACTGCTGTCAGAGCGGGGAGTTGGGGGAGTGGGTTTGCTGTCAGAGCGGGGAGTTGGGGGGAGTGGGTACTGCTGTCAGAGCGGGGAGTTGGGGGGAGTGGGTTGCTGTCAGAGCGGGGAGTTGGGGGGAGTGGGTACTGCTGTCAGAGCGGGGAGTTGGGGGAGTGGGTTGCTGTCAGAGCGGGGAGTTGGGGGAGTGGGTTTGCTGTCAGAGCGGGGAGTTGGGGGGGAGTGGTACTGCTGTCAGAGCGGGGAGTTGGGGGGAGTGGGTACTGCTGTCAGAGCGGGGAGTTGGGGGGGGGTGGTACTGCTGTCAGAGCGGGGAGTTGGGGGGAGTGGGGTACTGCTGTCAGAGCGGGGAGTTGGGGGGGAGTGGGTACTGCTGTCAGAGCGGGGAGTTGGGGGGAGTGGGTACTGCTGTCAGAGCGGGGAGTTGGGGGGAGTGGGTACTGCTGTCAGAGCGGGGAGTTGGGGGGAGTGGGTACTGCTGTCAGAGCGGGGAGTTGGGGGGAGTGGGTACTGCTGTCAGAGCGGGGAGTTGGGGGGAGTGGGTACTGCTGTCAGAGCGGGGAGTTGGGGGGAGTGGGTACTGCTGTCAGAGCGGGGAGTTGGGGGGAGTGGGTCTGCTGTCAGAGCGGGGAGTTGGGGGGAGTGGGTACTGCTGTCAGAGCGGGGAGTTGGGGGGGGGAGTGGGTCTGCTGTCAGAGCGGGGAGTTGGGGGGGGAGTGGGTCCTGCTGTCACGCTTTAGGTCACCTTCCCACCCCACCCCACCCCCCCGTTGGCTGCACCCCTCTACACCCTTCTCAAATCCAACCACCAGTTCAGGTGCACACCCTCAACTGTCCAGCTCCTTGGGACATGCTTCAGGTCGCCGAGACAACAACAAGACTACACTTGTATAGCCCCTTTCATGTCGGGAGGACGTCCCAAGGCGCTGGACGGAGTACAGCATTTCAGACCCGAGCTGGGGTCGGGAGGAGAAGGGGAAGGGGGGTGGCCGATGGCATGGTCGAAGAGGAGGGTCTTGAGGCGGGACTTGAAGGAGGCTACGGAGGGGGCGAGGCGGAGTGATTGGGAGGTGGAATTCCAGAGGTTGGGGGCAGAGTGGCTGAAGGCTCTCCCGCCAATGGTGAGGCGGGTGGGTCAGGGGACGTGGAGCAGGCCAGAGCCGGCTGAGCGGAGGGAGTGGGTGGGTTAGTAGGGGGTTAGGAGGTCGCAGAGGTAGGGTGGGGCGAGGCCATGGAGGGCTTTGTAGGTGAGGACCAGGATCTTGAACTGGATCCTCTGAAGGATAGGGAGCCATTGGAGTCGGGAAAGAATGGGGGAGATGGGGGTCACAAAGTTTGGTGCGGGAGAGGACACGGGCTGCAGAGTTCTGGATTATCTGCAACCTGCAGAGGGAGGAATTGGGAAGGCCGACAAGCAGGCAAGGGCAGGTCCGCGAAGATTAAGTAAAGAGGAGAGGCGGTGTATGAGGATGGGGTGGTCGACAGTGTCAAAGGTGGCAGAGAAGTCGAGGAGGACAAGGAAGCAGAGGGAACCCTGATCACAGATGTTCAGAATGTCATTAGTGACTGACCAGGGCTGTTTCTGTGCTATGGGCAGCGCGGAAGCTGGATTGGAGGGGTTCAAAGAGGAAATGGCGAGAAAGAAAGGAGCAGAGCTGGGACGCAATGACTCATTCCAGGAACTTGGAGAGGAATGGGAGGTTAGAGATGGGCGGTAGCTGGAGAGAAGGGATGGGTCCAGGGAAAGGTTTTTTTCAAGATGGGGGTGATGACGGCTGTTTTTAGCGGGGTGGGAACTAAACCGGTGGACAAGGAGAGGTTGATGACGTCGGGCAGGAGAGGGACCAGAAGCAACAACAGCGTTTGTATAGCGCCTTTCACGTCGAGAGGATGTCCCAAGGCACTGATCAATCAATGCGCTTGTGAAAGTCTCAAATGACATCCTCTCTATCTGTGACCAGGGCTCCCTCTGCCTCCTCGTCTTCCTGGACCTCTCTACCGCTTCAGCCACTACGCCCCGAGGCTCTGGAACTCCCTTCCTCACTCCCTTCGCCTCGCTCCCTCTCTTCCTATTTTCAGATCTCGGCTGAAGACTTTTCTTTTCGACCGCGCCTTTGGTCACCTTCCTCCCCCTCCCCCTGGTTCAGCCCCGGGATCCGTTATTGTGAAGCGCTCTGAGATACCGTCTGGCATGGAGAGCGCTATATAAATCCAAGTTGTTGTTGTTGTTTCGGGCCCGAGTTGGGGAGAATGGATGGCAGCTGGGGCAGGAGGGTGACCGAAGGCACAGTCGAAAATTAACTTGTTTCCCAATTGATTTGTGTGGTCAACAACGGTAAAGATTCCAATGTTCAGTATTGCTGCGTACAAAGTATGTGAAGTGTATTGTTTTGGTGCAGTTCATTTTTTTTTCTTCAGGGCTACAAACTTGCATTTGGAATTCACAATAACACTTACAGCAGATGGGGTGGAGCGTCAGCCACCATTGTCCGTAGCTCTGAAGATGAAGTGTGGGGAGTTGTTTGGCGCCTGAACCTTTCTGAGCTTGACTCTCTGGATAAGTGAGTACACAAATTGAATGGAGTGAGAGGAAAAAAAATTGGAAACACTAAGTTTCTAAATTTGAAAGCTTCTGCCTTAAAGAAACTTTACGGGAGAAGCTTTCCTAAACCACTACTAACTGAAGCTACTAACTTCTGTGTATTTGATTCATAAATTCTAATTCCTCTTTCACCTATAGACAAGAAGGTGTACCAGATGGGCATTACAATCCAATAGAGGTAATAATTAAGCAAATAAGCCCAGGAGAAGATCAACTGTGCCGGTCCTATCAGATGAATGTTTCCAATTATTCCTTTCCATCACAGATTTACAAAGAGGTAAATACCACATTTTCTTCCCGTATTTAATTTTAAAACCCAAATTTGCTGATGTTTGTGCCCATGAATTTGTGTGGATCTCTGAGACTAATTTTGATGGAATTCCAGTAATCCTTCCAGAACAACCAGTTCCAAAATCCTTGTTGAAAAGCCTGTACCAGAAATCCTTACAGAAAGAATATCACCTTTTAAAGAACTTCACTCCAGCAACCAGTTTTAAACTTTCACAAGATTCTTTCAATGACTTTTTACTTCTTCTGTTTCTCAGATTGTGTTCTTGTGGTGATTATCCCTTAATGGGGTTTGAAAATACAATAACAACTTGCACTTATATAATGCCCTCCACGCAGGGTAGCATCTCAGAGTGCTTAACAGTGGCGGAGCCTCACTTTAACAAAGTATTGTTAAATGCAGTATTGGCAAACCAGAATTAGCTGTTTGCCAATATCTTCAAATCCCTGAATGTCTTGGGACGTCCCCAAACGTGAAAGACGTTATACAAATGTAGTTTGTTGTTGTTGGATTAACAGCGACTATAGTTTGCAAATTTGTGGTATTCAGTATCTAATGTTTTATTTTAAATGGGAAAACTCCTTTTCACAATAGATGCATTCTGCTAGTGTGAACTGTGGGCATCCATTAATTTGAAGAAAGTTCCAGAAAGACATACAACAGCAATGGTAATTTATATTTGCTTTTCTTTTATTTCAGGTAATTTGTACAGGGGCAAAACAAAATGGGCTGCCTGCTGAATATGTGGAGAAGCTGCTTGACATAGAAACTAACAGTTATAACGGAACAACACCATTTATATTGGACATTAAAGAGATGCTAAATCAAGTAAAAAACAATCTAAATCCTCTCACTAGTTTTGGGAAAGTTGCAGTCTCTTTGTAGTAGAATTTTGGATATTTTAAATGCGCTGAATTTGCTTTGAGGCTGTTCTTGTGAGAAGTGCAATTTTTATAGAGATGAAGTACAATGAAATCAGCTTTAGGCGGACGGACGCTGGTTAACTCAAACATAACGGTCAGCCCCGATTCACTTGCATCCTTACCTGTTTTAAATATGCCAGTTAATTCGGACAAAAATCTGGTTATTCCGGTCAAAATGGCACGCTGGTCGCCACTGTATGTCAAGTGGCTCCAATCAGCCACGAGGGGCTGCACGATAGAGATGGGTGGAGTCTAAGATTGTTTGACAACGGACTCCAGCCTTTCACCAGCGGGTGGAGTTGGGCTGTCAATCAGTGGGGGGGCGGAGAAATGGGGAAGAATAAAGGAGGGAAATGATGATTGATTGACAGCTGAGCCACTTGTGAATGGGTCGAGCCCAAACATTCACAGCCGCCTCCGAGGCTGTCAACCACCTCAGTGCAGCACCAATTGGTCCCCTTCCCGTCCAGTGGGAACGGCAGTGGGAGGGAGGAGGAGCCACCGCTGCTCCTCTGCTGGCGTGAAGTTATTTTGCAGCCTAACAAAATAAATATATTTCACTGAATTCTGTGAGAGTACAGTATTTTCATTCCGGGGTTAAAATACTCGGTGTCCTGTTTGGTTAGTTAACAATGCTTCAAGCAAAACAACATTATTACATATTATTATACGGTGTCGGCAGCACTCTGCTGGGCAGGAATGGTATTTCAGCTAACCTCGGACACCTCTTAACCAGACAAAACAGATATCCCCGATGTGTCCGGCTTAACAGGCTGTAATTTACAGTAGTTTATTTGTGGGTGATTTGCAAACTAGAAATATGTGGTATAATGAAGAGTACATTTTGGAAATGGAATTGTGCACAAGCATGTAATGCATAGATCTTCTGTTTTGAAATGTTTATTTTCTGCAATATTTTCATGGTTACTTTTACCAGTTTCACTGGTTCTGGCAGCTTATCGGTCATTTCAGCTATTGTTTCATTGATTATCAAAAACTGAGTAAAATAGAATTAAATTAGTGATCAACTAAAGTCTGTCATCAGCTTATTACTCACTACTTGTTCCACAGCAGTTTATTTCATCAATTTATTGGAAACAACAACAACAACTTGGATTTATATAGCGCCCTCCACGCCGGACGGAGTCTCAGAGCGCTTTACAATATCGGATCCCAGGACCGAGCCAGGGGGAGGGGGAGGAAGGTGACCAAAGGCGCGGTCGAAAAGAAAAGGCTTCAGCAGAGACCTAAAATGGGAAGGGAGGGAGAGAGATGAAGGGAGTGAGGAAGGCAGTTCCAGAGCCTCGGGGCATAGTGGCTGAAGGCATGGCCGCCGAGGGTGGAGTGGAGGACTCGGGGGAGGAGGAGGAGCCAGACCCGGAGGAACGGAGGCAACGGGTACTGTTTTGAGAGAGAGGAGGTCAGAGAGGTAGGGTGCAGGGCAATGCGACGGAGGTGGAAAAAGGCAGTGCTGGTAAGGGACCGGATGTGGGGGAGGAAGGATAATTGGGGTCGAACCTGACGCCTAAACTGTTTCATCAGAATACATTAACATTTTTAATAATGTTTAGTTACAGATGATACGAATCATTACGAATTATTTTAATAATAGTAAAACAGTTACTGTTTTTCCTTATTGATAATAAACATTAAACTATGCCTTTTTTTCAGTGTTCAAGAATTATCTTAAGGAAGTTATAATGTAGTACATTATAATGTGTCCATGGACATTTTAGTTCTTTTGGAGAGAGACCTTTAGCATTGGTAAGTCTTTTGAATACGGTGTCATTTGAGAGTTAATTCTGTCTTTAAAATATTTTTGATACTATGAATATTATATTCATATTTTAGAATTATTTTGACTTTCTTGCAAAAATGGTCATCCAATTTGTTTCCCTAAAAATAGTACCAAAATATACAAATACCAGTTGGTGATTTATTTTCTCCTTATCAAATACAGTACCTTACTTTTATGACATCTAACGTATTTAGATTACTCTTCAATTAGCCACTACATACACCTGCGTAATGTGAACGCACCTTGCTCAAATCCAACTTAACAGTCCATCGGCAGATTTGGCTGGACCTTATCGAATCTTACCACTCCACCCTTGTCTCCACTAAATTGTCATTCTACTCCCAAGACAATCTTGGAAGCCAAGGACAACCCCAAGCTCCTCTTCTCAATCACCAACCGGCTCCTCCACCCATCTTCTCATGCCTTGCCCATCCTCACCTCCAATGCCAACTGCGAGGAGATGCTGGAATTCCTCAAAACCAATATCACGGGGATCCGCTCAGCTGCCTCTGCCCTTCCGACCATTACCCCCTCCCCATCTCCCCCTCATACCCTGGCCGCCACCTCCCTGCACACCTTCGAACCTGTCTCGCCCCTCTCATCACCCCATAACCCACATGAAACCAATCACCTTCTCCCTCGACCCCATCCCTACCTCTCTCCTCCACCTCCTTGCCCCCCTACTCAGACATCATAAACCTCTCCCAGCCACTGGCACCATTCCGACCTCTTTAAGAATGTCCATCACCACTCATTCTTAAAATACCCTCCTTGGACCCATCCCTGCTCTCAAACTACCACCCCGTCTCCAACTTCCCTTTCCAAGGTCCTGGAGTGAGTTGTTGCTTTCCAGCTTCAGTCTTTCCACTCCTTCCCAAGCCCCTCCAATTGGGTTTCCGTGCACCCACAGTACAGAAACAGCTTTGGTCAACGTGAAAAATGACATTTTATTCATCTGCAACCAGGAGTCTCTGCCTCGTCGTCCTCCTTGACATCCCTGCTGCTTTCAATATCGTTGTAAATAGTTGAAATTATAATATAAGAATCATTAGTATTGATTGTGTAGTGAATAGATAAGTTACGTAGAATGAATCCAAAATACAAACTGCCATGTGGCATGCAACACACACACACCCACCACAGTCCTAGTAAAGAAACACCGAGCTAGGCAGGAGTACACTGGAATGTGACATCGCCAAGGAAGATAGAATAATTGGACCAGGAGAATGGATGAGAGGCCATCTGTGGGCGGATATACAAAATCAGCAGTTAAAAAACGAGAAAAGCTTGATTATCCAGCGCCTTGGGACGTCCTTGGCTCCCATCAACGTCTTCATTCCTATGGATCTAAACTCCTCAACCTCCCTGGGCTTTCCCTCACACTCACCAAACCAGTGCACAACATAGGTGTCCGGTTCAACCCCCAGCTCTCCTTCCTCCCCATTCACAAGATCCATCTCATTCAAAACTCTGCTGTCCGCATATTGACCCGGACCAAACTCCGTAACCATATCTCACCAGTTCTGGCCAGGCTCCACTGGCTCCCCATCACCGAATGGATCAACTTCATGCTTTCAGCCACTACGCCCCAAAACTCTGGAACACTCTCCCTCAATCCCTCCGCTATGCCTCCTCTCTCCCCTCTTTCAAGTCCCGCCTGAAGACTTTCCTGTTCAACTGTGCTTATGGCCACCTCCCCCCGGCTCGGAGTCAAGCTCCGCCACTGTTAACTGTTGCCAGACTACGGCACTACCTCACCCCTCACGCTGCTGAAACTCTGGTCCACACCTTTATCACCTCAAGGCTGGACTATGGGAACTCTCTCCTCGCCGGCCTTCCCGGCACCTCCCTCCACAAGCTGCAGGTCATTCAGAACTCTGCAGCTCGTGTACTGTCCCGCACCAGGCTTCGCGACCACATCACTCCCACCCTCGCTCGCCTCCACTGGCTCCCCATCCCCCAGAGGATCGAATTCAAGATCCTCATCCTCACCTACAAGGCCATTCACGGCCTTGCTCCCTCCTTCCTCTCCGACCTACTATTCCCCTACCTACCTGCCCGTACCCTCCGTTCCTCTGGCTCCGATCTGCTCCACATCCCCCGCCCCAACCGCCCTACCATCGGTGGCCGGGCCTTCAGCCTCTCAGCCCCAAGGCTCTGGAACTCTATCCCCCAGTGCCTTCGCCGCCTCCTCCCTTTCCTCCTTCAAGGCCGATCTCAAGACCTTTCTCTTTGACCGCCTTCAGCTCCCCTCTCGACTCTCTACCCCCTCCTCGCTCCCTCCCTTCCCTCCCCTCACCCTGACCATTTCCCCCCAATGCTCGGGTCCTGACCCAACTGTACAGCGCCTTGGGACGTCCTCCCGACGTGAAAGGCGCTCTATAAATGGAATCTTGTTGTTGTTAAGTCTCTGAGATGCTACCCGGCGTGGAGGGCGCTATATAAGTGCAAGTTGTTGTTCTTGCTCTCCCGCCGTAAAAGCTGCTATACAAATGTAATTTTGTTGTTGTTGCTAATAATGAACACAATGTGGTCTTTTTTCAAAAGGACATGAATATGCAACACAGATTTTCGGAAAAACAGTTCATGTTAATGGAGATTAATCGTATGGAACACGATAATCTCTACAGTTGCTGTGATGAAGGAAATATCAGTAAAAATATACGGCATTGGCATTTTGAATGCCAAAAAATTGCAGTACTGTTTTGATCCTGCCAGCAGAAGGTAGGGAATAAACTATCTTCTGCTCACGGGATTCAAGCTGAGTCCAAAGTCGATACCTGGCCACTGAAGTCAATTACATCAAATACATTATTAAACATCACAAATTTCACCCTTTAAGAAATGCTTCAGTATTCAAATGGTAAAAAAAGGACAGAAATGCTGGAAATAGGTAGCAAATCAATCAATCAAGAGGCAATACTGAAATGTTTCATCTGAATGGTCCCATCAAAAATATTAACCTAGTTCTCTACTTCAGATGCCAATTAACTGCTGTGCATTTAATCATTTGAGTTTCTAGCATCCGTTTTGATTATCATTTCTCCCCATGAGTGCAGCGCAGCTTCACAGTGAGAACTAAAAACAGTTTAATACAAAAAAAGCAGACAACTAATTACTTCTCTCAAAGCATATACCACCAGCTTCTCTAGACAATTTACTTTTCGCACATAGGTAACATCATTACACTCCCTCAGGCTGAAGCTGAAGACCTGCTGTTTTTACAACACACACATTTAATGCCAATGTGCTACTTCAGAGACAGAAAGAAGACATGCCAACATAAACATAAAAGAGAAGAAGCAGAGTATAATCCTAGGCCCTCACTACTGCTGCTCTGAAACTGGGAGTTACAAAGATACAATGAAGGAGGATTCCCTCTGTGATCCTGTTCCTTCCTTGATGCACAATCCCTGAATGCCCAGTTAAAATCAGGAGCTCGGGATGGAAGCAACTCTGATGCAACCCTCAGTCCTAACACTATGTGGCGCTCCAAATACAGAACCAAAACTGCACAGCTTTTTTTGTGCTTTTGCACTGTGCCAGTATCACACAGTAAGAGATTTGAGTACTCTTACCGAGGAGAGTGACACTTAAATAGAAAAAAAGCCGATTTCTTAATTTAAGTAATGATGTAAATTACCCTCTGGGCAAAGAAAAAAATCATGGTATCTGTCCTGAAATTGCCCTTTCCAACTTTAACCCTACGTCTCTTGTCCCTCTCTCTCTCTCTCTCCCCTCTTTCACGGTACGTCTCAAATCACCTCTTCGACTGAGCCTTCGGTCATCTTTCCCATCCCCACTTCTCTCGGCTCCCACCCCCAGCTTGGGTGCCTATCCAGCACTGTGGAACTCCATTCCTGAATCCCTTTGCCTTGCCCCTTCCCTCGCCTCCTCCTTTGAGGTCCATTTGAAGACCTTTAACCATGCCTTTGGTCATCTTCCCTGCCTAGCCCCATCCTCCATTAGCTCCCCCCCCCCCCACCACCCTCTTGCATCTAACCCCCAACTCAGGTTCAAACCCTCAATTGTCCAGCCCCATGGGATAGCCTCCCGACATGAAAGGTGCTATATAAATGTAATTTGTTGTTGTAGAAGATTATGGGAACCTACCTCGGTTGCAAATCCTTGGTCTAAGATACTTCTACCTTCAAACAATTACATTGCATAGAGACAAAATGTGTTTCAGTAAATAATGAAGCACTTTGAGATGACGAGAAGATGTGAAAAA